CGCGTCCTTCAGGCCACTATTGGAGATGCCGTGAATTCAAACTATTTTTTGATTTAACTTGTAATTCCCTCTAAGGACTTGGAAAATGCCTTTGCTAGTTTATTCGAAAACATTCCAGCCCACAGAGAAATCAGACGGCTAGGTAATCGTTACAGAATATGAAAGTTAAATGCTACCTAACTCTGGGCTTCTAACTTTTCGCGAGTGAATTATACCTCAAGCCCACACACTGGATTTATTTTCACCGATTTGAGCCTGACATCTTAATTCATAACCAGCAGCTGCCGTGTGTTCCGGCAGTCACTAAACTAAGTGCAGGTGAACAGGAGTCTTCAAGGCAAGCGCTGACGACTCTACGCACGGCACACTCAAGTCACATTATGCAGTAAAGCAGACGAGTGATGGAATTCTTTGTGGACGAAGGTGGGGGTCTCTGTGAACTCATCCAGCTGTCGTGGTGCGTCTGGTTCCCGGTGGTCTCTGACCGCCTGCGATGTCGTCGCAACCAGCCTTCTCCTGAAACTCCCGGTTCTCGTTCACTCTCCTCTGCCCCAGCTGCTGCTGTTGGCAGTTTAATCTCCCCAATCAAATCTCGTAACAGCTTCTCGGATTTCTTCCTCCAGCGGCTGTCAGCAACCCCAGCCGCTCTTGTATATCGTTTTCATCCTGCTCGCCAAAATGTCAGGCCTTCAGTCTAGCTGTTTGGCCCCGGAGTTCAAGTTGACTGAAGCGCTTATTAGCAAAGGTATTTCTGTGTTACTCACGCCAGTGGAAACCTTGACACAGAGATACACTTAGAAGCACGCATCTGTAATGGAACAGATATTTTCATGCTACGTGCGTGAATCGGCAGAGACTGCATAAATCTCCAAATCCCCGAAGCCAACGCAAAATTTCCAGATAAGATGTTAAATGGGGCAAATCCGCAGAAGCTGGATTGCCTTTATTGACGTCGTACCGCGTGGATTAGCATGTTATACCTTGCAAGCGTTGACATAAGTCATACGTGTCTGCTTTTAGTGTTTTTCATTTTAGACCGAGTGTTCTATTTTTATTGCTATTTACTCTTGGGGTTTTTGAAAAACAGCTGCTGTGTAAGTCGAGCTGGTTTACGTTTTCTGGTTGTTTGGAGGGTACACCCAACGCCTGCATTTTACGGTTTATTGGTGTAACCGGAGAGACTCTGTTACCTCCTAAATCTTGTGTGGAGCCAGGGAAACACCACCTATGCCCCTGACTGCCCTCGATGAAACCGCATGAGGAAACAGTTGAAGAGAAAGGAACGCCGTCACCAAAGGCCTTTTTTCCTCAGAGGAAGAAAACTAAGATCACAATTTTGCCAGTTGCCCTGTAATCTCAGAAACTACAATTTACGTAATGTTGGCATGACTTCCTGCGTAATAGCGCGCGATTATCCTTTTACTGAAATTGGCTCTAAATTCTCTCAAGGCCAGTCACCATGGGAATATTCCAGCAATTCTTTTAGCTCTTACATCTAAATCTCATAATATGTAAACCCGTTGGTCCGTTGATTACTATCTGGATGTTTCTCTCTTTTTATCACCTCTCAAGACCCTCAGTGAGAATAAAAAAGTGGTTCCGTTTCCTGGTAAGAGAGTGAATTATCGATGATCGCTTACGGGGTGTGTATGACCCGTGCGGGTGGCTGCTCTGGGCTCGCTTTGTCCATTTGTGAGTTTCCCCTTTTGAAAATGTCCGAAGCAGGTCACTTTATGCGTTGCCCCAGCCTGACCTGGCCATCCACGGCCATCTGTTTCCAGGCAGCCTTCCGCTTGGATTACGTGGCTTTGAACGAACGACTTACTCTTTCCTGACTAAGCAGGGACCCCTCTAAGCTGCATTTTATATGGCACGGTTTCGAGGTGACTTGACAAGTGGAGGTTTGGACGTCACCATAGGGTGGCGCTGTCTGTCGGCTCACGGTTCGTGGAATTGCTTTAATATTTCACCGTGTACCCTCGTGATAGTTGGTAAAAAAAAAAAAAAAAAAAGTAGGGAAGAGAAAAAAATAAAGTTCCTGAAACTTGTAACACGAAGTACGGGTTTCAGACAGGAGACTTGAGACCAATAAGTGAATACGTGCCCCTAAGTGACCCATTTGTAGCCGTTATTAGAGGTCTCTTGGATCGGGGGCTCAGTCCTGAAGGAAAACACAGCACGCGTAGGTGACACTAGCAATATCCCGCTGGCGATTGCATTTGAGAGGCAAGGAGGGCTCAGGGCGTTTTGAAATAATGTTTTATTATATATTAACATGACGCATATAGTATTTTATGTTCTATTAATATTTGATGTAATTTTCTATTGCATTTTATGGTAATACATTACCCATAAACATGCTTTGACATCTTCGTTCTATTTTTAACCTTGCACGTTCTAATTTTCTCTGCTTTTAGGGTTGCCTTGTGTGCAGGGCTAGGGGATGGCTGGTCCATTCATTCTTTATTGTCCTCTTTCATGTATCAAACATTTTCTGAGCACCTTCGGCCTGTGGGGTTGAGCTGGGTGCCGGAGGACAAAGAGGGGGAGGCAGCCTCCTGGCGGCCGGCGGACTGTGAGCGGGGATCGCACCCACCCGCAGGAGGGCGCCCGCGGGAGGACGCCGAGCTTCTGAGCCTGCATGGCTCCCGGGTTTGCAAAGCGCGGCCGCCCGGCGCCAGCCCTCACCGCCTCTGCCTTTCCTTCGACACACAGTCGTGTGCGTGTTAGTCCCCCACCCCGCCTTTGCTGTTTAAACGTGCATGTGATCACGGTGAGTATCGTATCACGTATCCGTCAATTTTAACAGCTCCCTGTCTGCTTCCGTTCACTGGTCTCCATAATCCTACATTTTTAAGATTCATACTTTTACCCCAATTTTTCAAGAAGGGAAGAACTGAAACCCAGAGAGGGGAAGGCGACTCGTCCAATATTATTGTTGAAGCTGGGGGTGGGGGGGTGGGGGATGCGGGGCAGGGCTCCCAGAGGAGCTGCGGGTTCTGCGCTGGGTACTTGCTGGGCACCGAGGGTGCATGCGAGTGAGGCTCGGACTTGCTGTGCCCGAGAAGCTCACTGATACCGGGGTTGGGGGCAGATGCATAAGCGGAGGTTGTGTGGGTGCCGTGGAAGGTCCCTGAAGGAGAACACGGGCCTGTCTGGGCCGGGGAGGGGCTGCAGGGACTTCCAGGTGGTGACGTGAAGGAGAGGGCAGCTCGGGTGGGGTGTGGACGGTCCGTCGGGAGCCGCCAAGCGGGCGCCGCGGAGAAGGGCCCGCAGGTGCCACGGGCGCAGCGGTGGCCGCACGCAGCAGGTGCAGGCGTCTGCGGTCCACACAGGCACCGGTGGGGGCGGGAGGCACGTGTCCATTTCAGGTCGGTTTTAGGTCCTACCGGGTAGGCTGGGACCCGTGAAGGCGGAGTGTCGGGGACTTTGCACAGAGATTCTCTCTGGATCCCGCGAAGTGTAGCGAGGCCTGGAGCCTCCCCTGGGTGTCTCCCCCCCAGAGGTGACGCGGGGGTCTCGGTTTGGGCGCGTCACCGTCTCCCACAGGGGACGGTGGAGTTTGCACGGGGAGGAGGCTGCCTCAGGCCGTCGCCTCCTCAACCCAGAGCGGCGGGCATCTCGTCTCACGGCCCTTTGGTCAGAATGGGTTTCTGGCCCCCCGTGGAGGCTGCGGTCTGGAAGGGTCTTTGGTGGCTCCGCCCCAGGCATGGGGGAGGGGAGCCGGCCTGGCGGCCCCTGGCATCACCGCCACAGCCTGATGTGTCATTCGGAGGGTCTGGGGCTTCATGTGTCAGAGCAGGTGACATCATCGCATTGATGTTTAAGATAATGATGTGGACATCAGGGGAGAAGGGCAAGGTGACAGTGTTACCTTCATTCACAATATTCTGTGGTGGAGGCCTGGACGGGACTGGGCCGCAGGGAAGGGACAGCATCCCGGGAGGTGACGGGGGCCCGGACGGGACTGGGCCGCAGGGAAGGGACAGCGTCCCAGGAGGTGATGGAGGCCCGGACGGGACTGGGCCGCAGGGAAGGGACAGTGTCCCGGGAGGTGACGGGGGCCCGGATGGGACTGGGCCGCAGAGAAGGGACAGCGTCCCGGGAGGTGATGGAGGCCCAGACGAGACTGGGCCGCAGGGAAGGGACTTTGCAGGAAGATTTGTGAATTTGACCATATTGACCAAACTTGGCCGCAGGTTGGATACGAGGGGCAAGGGTGAAGTTGGAGGTTCTGGGCTGGGGCCTGGGTCTTGCTTCCGTGAAGGAGAGAAAGAACAGGTTTTGGGGGAAGGCAACAGGTAAGCACGTCTGCTGACACACCTGCCTTCTCGGAGGTTCCGTGAGGCCTCTCGCTGAAGACGCCATTCCGCAGGTCCAGCAGTGGTGTTTGCAGTGTCCGGGAGCAGCGTTGATTCCCTGTGCCCAATGGCATGTTTCGCCGTAGGAACAGATGGTACCGTCACCGACGAATGTGGTTTGGCAAGTGACAGATTCCCAAGTACCTCATGATCTTTCTGCTTCCATAGGTTGTTTTCATGTGTTGGTGCCTCTTCTGGAGAAAGACAGTGGTTTTGGATTCTCCTGCGCTCTGATTTGTCCTTTTTGATTTTACTAAAAGTGCCTTTTTTATGTTAGTGAAAACACAAGAGTCTTTCCTGTGGTTTATCAATTTTCAAACAACTAGTGGATTACATCTATTTAATTAATATTAGCACATCGTTTATACTGGCTTCTCTTGACCTTCTCCGATACTAGTACATCCTACCTATTTTATGCTTATTTAAGATTCTATTTCCAAGTGAGAATAAAAGTGATAATGTACGTAAAGCACCTTGGAAGTGTAACAGCCCATGTGAGAATTATTTTTATTAATATTATCACTATCGATATGAAATTGATGATATAGTAGCTATGTTTGTTATTTTATGATTTATGTCACTTGATTTAGATGGCTACTACGTTTATTGGTGATTTTGTTTTATTTTTGTTTACTGAAGAAAAAGAACCATATGACCTTCTAGAGGGAAAAAACACACCTGTACTACTAGAAACCCCAGTGAAAATAGAAGACCGAAGACAACCACCAATGGGACAGCACTCACGAGAAGAATCATCATCAGGACGATCAGAAGAAAAGCCTGAAGACCAAGAATTGCTCGAACAGCCATCCTGGGGGCAGCCATCCCAAGAACAGATACCTGACACATGGGAACCATCGTACCTGAGCAGCAAAAAGAGATGACACACGGAGGAAAAACTGAACAAATACCATGAAAACAACATATCAGCCATGTTGTAAAGAATAACAGTCAGAAGCTAGAAAGGATCGCACGGCAAATGAAAAGAAAATTAGACATTTATTTCACGGTATGCTAAAGAGGTATGCTAGTACAATATTAAAATTGGGCATTTCATATTTTGGTGGTCAAAGTTTAAAAAAATGATTAAGACTAAATTCATCTGGAGTTCCTTCCCCTGTTCCCTGAATTTTAGTAAAACTGGGAGGGGTGGGAAGTGATTAGTGAGATGTAATGTGTATCACCACCTGGCTCACACCTTCATTTCTTAGAGCATCGGTCCATATCTAGTATTCCAGGTGACTCAGTTGCCCTGAAAATGACACATATTTATTTACACAGTTATCTATGGTTAATTTTTTTTCTGTTTAACAGTGAATTAGGGTATCGTATAATAATTGTACATATATATACACGCACAAACATATACATCACACACACACAAATGCTTTATATGTCAGAAATTGATAGTAGAACCCATGGAATGTACATTTTGGTGATTAAGAGAATGGGTTCTCAAGTCAGATGATACAAGTTTGGCCTCTCCACTCATTAAGTGTGTGAACTATGTCTGTGCTCCAGTTTACTCCTCCATAAATTGAGGCTAATTATAATACCGAATTCATAATTTTTTGGGATATTTTAAAGCAATAACACTTACTTTTAAGGTTTATTTATTTTGGGGAGGGTAGGGGCAGAGAGGGAGAGAGAGTGCATGCAAGCAGGGGAGGGGCAGGGAGAAGGGGAGAGAGAGAAGCCCAAGCAGGCTCCACGCTATTAGCTCGGAGCCTGATGTGGGGCTCGATCCCACGAACTGTGAGATCATGACCTGAGCCAAAATCAAGAGTTAGACGCCCCATTGACTGAGCCACCCCGGGGCCCCTAAAGCAATAATACTTATTCTAAAGTACTTAGAACAATGCTGGACACACTAAAATACGTTATTACTGTTATTTCATTTTGGTTGTTTTCCTGTTTGTTATTTTATTTCCTTAAGGACAGGGGGAGACAGAGTGCGAGTGGGGGAGGGGCAGAGAGAGAGGGAGACACAGAATCCAAAACAGGCTCCAGGCTCCGAGCCGTCAGCCCAGAGCCCGACGCGGGGCTCGAGCCCACGAACCGTGAGATCGCGACCCGAGCCGAAGTGGGACGCTCAAGCGACCGAGCCATCCAGGCGCCCCTCTGTTTGTTATTCAGTGAGAGAAGACAAGCAGATCATTCCGCTCAGGTTCTCTGCTAAGATCCTTATTGTGTTTGAGCTTCTTACCTACCAACGTGGAAGCAAGGATTTGCGGACTGTCAGGGTCCAGGCAGAAATCAAACCTGTGCTGCACCGCTGGTTAGTCACAGAGTGCTGGCGTGCGGAAGGAGAAAGGAAAGCCGCTGTGTCGCCATCATTATGGAGTTTTTGGTTTGTTGTTGGACTTGACTGCAGCATTTACGACTCCTTAAGGAGGGAATTGGGGTCAAATGGGAATCATCTCCGTCTCATCTTTAGCTTTGTTTGGCTAACAAGTTTCCGGTGGAGAGCCCGTGGGTGTTGATGTCGCTCCATGCGTCGTCCCCGTTTTGGTGCTTGAGAAAGAACGTTACAACAGCATTCTCTGCTCCTTTTTGCCTGGGGTCTCTGTGCGCTGTCCTGGTGTATGTCGTCGCGTGAAGAGGGTGCAGTGGTTGAGAACCGCCGGTCTGGTCTAGGTGCCACCTGCGTTGACCTTATGCTCTTGAACATTTACGTCTCATTTCCAAGCATGAGCTGTTTTCGGTGAACTGGGAATGTTGGAGCTGCGGGCACCCCCAGAGGTGGCGGAGGGCACAGCAGACGTCGTGGGTCACCATGGGGGTCGGAGGCCGCCAGAGTCCCGTGTGACTGTACCTTTCGGTGGCAGGGGCAGGGCTCAGAGTCATGTGTTTCTTTCCTTTCTTCCCCCCCCAAAAATTAGTTCTAAATCCACTGTAATACTCAACCTTATTGAGTAAGTGTGTGAAGCACATGAAACGAGGCTCTCTGAAATTCCTAGTACTATCCTGGCGTAATATGGATTCGTTTTATTTTCGCGGATACGTGGGTACTGCTTCATCCAATGGTGTTCATATTTTGGGCCTAGTTTTAGGGGAGGACCTCCCCCAGGGGGGTCCTTCGGAGAGTTATTCAGTATTAAAATCAAATGAGAATGCAGACCCAAACAATACCATGGTGTCTTAGTACATGTGAAGACGTGGGGCCGAGGTTGGAATGGGAGATGATGGATGAAGGGTTATTTTATTTTATAGTATTTTATTTATTTTATTTTTAATTTTAATTTCAGTGCAGTCAACATACAGTGCTGTATTAGTTTCAGGGGTACGATATAGCGATTCAGCACTTCCGTACCTTACTCAGTGCTCATCCTGAGATGTGTTCTCTTCATCCCCGTCACTTGTTTCTCCAACCCCCTGCCCCACCGGTGACCATGGGCGTGTTCTCTAGAGTTCAGAGTCTGTGTCTTGGTTTGTCTCTTTCTTCCCCCTTTTTGTTCATTTTGTTTCTTAAATTCCACTTATGAGTGGAATCATGTGATGTGTGTCTTTTTCTGACTGGCTTATTTCACTTAGCATTATACCCTCTAGATTTATCCATGTTGTTGCAGATGGCAGAATTTCATTTTATGTATTTATTTGTGTATTTATTTTTTACTTTATTTATTTAATTTTATTTTTAAAAGAATATTTATTATTGAGAGACAGAGAGACACAGAGTGTGAGCAGAGGAGGGGTAGAGAGAGGAGAAGACACAGAATCTGAAGCAGGCTCCAGGCTCCGAGCTATCAGCACAGAGCCTGACGCGGGGCTCGAACTCACAAACTGTGAGATCATGACCTGAGCCGAAGTCGGTCGCCTAACCAACTGAGCCACCCAGGTGCCCCCCCCTTTTTTTTTAATATATGAAATTTATTGTCAAATTGGTATCCATACGACACCCAGTGCTCATCCCAAAAGATGCCCTCTTCAATACCCATCACCCACCCACCCCCACCCCCCATCAGCCCTCAGTTTGTTCTCATTTTTTAAGAGTTTCTTATGCTTTGGCTCTCTCCCACTCTAACCTCTTTTTTTTTTTTTCCTTCTCCTCCCCCATGGGTTTCTGTTAAGTTTCTCGGGATCCACATAAGAGTGAAAACATATGGTATCTGTCTTTCTCTGTATGGCTTATTTCACTCAGCATCACACTCTCCAGTTCCATCCACGTTGCTACAAAGGACCATATTTCATTCTTTCTCATTGCCACGTAATACTCAATTGTGTATATAAACCACAACTTTTTTTATCCATTCATCAGTTGATGGACATTTAGGCTCTTTCCAAAATTTGGCTATTGTTGAGCGTGCTGCTATAAACATTGGGGTGCAGGTGCCCCTCTGCATCAGCACTCCTGTATCCCTTGGGTAAATTCCTAGCAGTGCTACTGCTGGGTCATAGGGTAGGTCTATTTTTAATTTTTTGAGGAACCTCCACACTGTTTTCCAGAGCAGCTGCACCAGTTTGCATTCCCACCAACAGTGCAAGAGTGTCTCTGGGATATTTTCACGCAATACTGTAGATTCTCAACATGCCACAGGCTGCCATCTAGGAAAGCACCCAGAACATGCAGTAAAATGATAACAGTTTTGGGAAGTTCTCTTTTAATCTGTTTTTCATTTTATTTTCTTTAATCTTTATTTTTGAGAGAGTGAGAGAGACAGAGTGAGAGGAAGGGAGGAGCAGAGAGAGAGGGAGACACAGAATCCGAAGCAGGCTCCAGGCTCTGAGCTGTCAGCACAGAGCCCAACAGGGGGCTCAAACCCACGAACCATCAGATTGTGACCTAAGCCGAAGTCGGACACTTAACCGACTGAGCCACCCAGGTGCCCCATAATCTTTTTTTTTTTTTTTTTAAATGTCTTTCAGATGGCCTGGGAGTAGAAACCAATAAACTAAAAAAAAATCACTTTTCTATCTACCTGACATCAATATTCCTTCAATCATAGTGTTTCCATCTTGCATACGGACATTTTAACAGTGAGAACACCATGTCTGGGGGAAACAAACCCATGCATGGTGTCTTCTCAAAAGCTAAAGATGAGGGTTTTCCAAAGGATCCCATAGTGTTCTAAGTCCTTTTCTTGGTGGCATTTCTTTTTAGTAAACATTTGAAAGAATGACATGTAGTTCTTCGTAATTAAGCCTCACAAAGATCATTTGGAAAATCGGAGAAATTTGGAATCACCCGTGCGCATAGCCCCTTGTTTGTTTTCCTTGGAATGTGTTTTGGAAGATACTGGTTCATTATTGGAAGGTGTTGTTCTCACCAAGAGGGATCTAGAACCTCTGCTATATGAAGTTCTAAGTATGAAAATATTTTACCCTCTGAATGATCAGTTCAAAAGGAAAACATATCCAAGGTTAGCTGGAAAAAGGATTTTCCTAGTTTACTTATGTATTTTCACAAAGACAAAAGTGATAGTCATACAACTAAGTGCAAAGATTTGAGTTTTCTTCAGCAAAGATTTTAATGTTAGCAAAGAGCACTTATCTCTCTTCCGTTTGCATTCTAGTCCTAGTTGAAGAAGCTGTAGGCTGTTTGCCTTTACATCTGGGTGAAAAAAAAAAAAAGAAATCATGTGCTACTTACAAGGCGAAATTTTCACAGTAGAGACTTCAGTGTCATTTGGCGGGTACGGAACACTGTCACGTTCAAACCTGAAAGGTATTTACTGTTACAACTATGGTTAAACTATTACAACCATCGACAATAGACTCAATAGTTTCATCTTATTATATTTTTATCGATGCTTCAAAATGTTTTGGAAATTGGTCTGCATTCAAGTTTTTTTATTTTTTTAATTTTTATTTTTTAACGTTTTTTATTTTTGAGACAGAGAGCGACAGAGCATGAACAGGGGAGAGGCAGAGAGAGAGGGAGACACAGAATCCGAAACAGGCTCCAGGCTCTGAGCCGTCAGCACAGAGCCTGACGTGGGGCTTGAACTCACGGACCGCGAGATCGTGATCTGAGCCGAAGTCGTACGCTTAACCGATCAAGCCACCCAGGCGCCCCTCAAGTTTGATTTTATTTAACTTCAAACATCATTTGAATT